TTTTCCCTGTCCAGTCTATCATCGATGGGCATTTGGGTTGGTTCCAGGTCTTTGCTATTGTAAACAGTGCTGCAATGAACATTCGTGTACCCAGAGTAATTTATGCATTCATTGCTATCCCCATCAAGCTACCACTGAATTTCTTCACAGGATTAAAAAACTACTTTAAATTTCATATGGAACCAAAAAAGAGCCCGGATAGCCAAGACAATCCTAAGCAAAAAGAACTAAGCTGGAAGTATCATGCCACCTGACTTTATACTACAGGGCTATAGTAACAAAAATAGCATGGTACTCATACCAAAACAGATACATAGACCAATGGAACAGAACAGAGACCTCAGATATATTGCCACACATCTACAACCATCTGATGTTTGACAAACCAGACAAAAACAAGCAATGATAAAAGGATTCACTACTTAATAAATGGTGTTGGGAAAACTAGCTAGCCATTTACAGAAAACTGAAACTGGACCTCTTCCTTACACCTTACACAAAAATTAACTCAAGATGGATGAAAGACTTAAACGTAAGACCTAAAACCATAAAAACCTTAGAAGAAAACCTAGACAATACCATTCAGGATATAGGCATGGGCAACGACTTCATGACTAAAAGACCAAAAGCAATGGCAACAAAAGCCAAAATAGGCAAATGGGATCTAAATAAACTAAAGCGCTTCTGGACAGCAAAAGAAACTATCATCGGAGTGAACAGGCAACCTACAGAATGGGAGAACATTTTTGCAATCTATCCATCTGACAAAGGGCTAATATCTAGAATTTACAGGGAACTTAAACAAATTTACAAGAAAAAAATAGACAACCTCATCAAAAAGTAGGCAAAGGATATGAACAAACACTTTTCAAAAGAAGACATTTATGCGGCCAACAAACATGTAAAAAAGTTCATCATCACTGGTCATTAGAGAAATGCAAATCAAAACCACAATGAGACACTATCTCATGCCAGTTAGAATGGTAATCATTAAAAAGTCAGGAAACAACAGATGCTGGAGAGGATATGGAGAAATAAGAGTGCTTTTACACTGTTGGTGAGAGTGTAAATTAGTTCAACCATTGTGGAAGACAATGTGGCGATTCCTCAAGGATCTAGAACCAGAAATACCAGTTGACCAAGTAATCCCATTACTGGGTATATACACAAAGGACTACAAATCATTCTACTATAAAGACACACGCACATGTATGTTTATTGCAGCACTATTCACAATACCAAAGACTTGGAACCAACCCAAATGCCCATCAATGATAGACTGGATAAAGAAAATGTGGCACATACACACCATGGAATACTATGCAGCCATAATAAAGGATGTTCATGTTGTTTGCAGGGACATGGATGAAGCTGGAAACCATCATTCTCAGCAAACTAACACCACAACAGAAAACCAAACACCACATGTTCTCACTCATAAGTGGGAGTTGAACAATGAGAACACATGGACACAGGGATGGGAACGTCACACATCAGGGCATGTCAAGGGGTGGGGGGTCTAGGAGAGGGAAAGTATTAGGAGAAATACCTAATGTAGATGACGGGTTGATGGGTATAGCAAACCATGATGGCACGTGTATACCTATGCAACAAACCTGCACATTCTGCACATGTATCCCAGAACTTAAAGTATAATTAAAAAAAGAAAAGATGATGTCCAACAGTACTTACTATTGACTCCATGCCAACAGCTTCAAGGCGTGTCCCCAAGAAGCTCTTCACTCCAGAATCCCCTTAAACTTTCTTTCTCTTCCTATGTTATACTTCTTTAGGCACCGTCATTTTTCCTGATATAATAGCAACTTAAAATCTTTTTCCTAGTCTTATATTTTAAAAGCAATTGTATAACTATCTAGCCTAACCTTCATTATTAGAATTTCTCGAGATCTGAAAATATCACATATTCTCCTTCACACCTCCTTAAGCCATCCTCTACGATTGCCAACTTTGTCTCAAACAAAGCTCTCTCATCTTCCAACGTGAATTTATCATCCTTATTTTCCTTTCCATTTTTTCTTTTCAAATTGTCAGGGGTGTTTGAACAAGAGCAACACTATCTTGAATAGGGGCTGGGTAAAATGAGGCTGAGACTTTCTGGGCTACATTCCCAGATGGTTAGGTATTCTAAATCACAAGATGAGATCAGAGATTGGCACAAGACACAGGTCATAAAGACCTTGCTGACAAAGCAGGCTACAGTAAAGAAGCTGGCCAAAACCCACCAAAACCAAGATGGCAAAGAGAGTAACCTCTGATCAGCCTCTCTCCTGCATCCCCACCAGCAACATGATAGTTTACAAATGCCACGGCAATGTCAAGAACTTACCCTATATGGTTGAAAAATGGGAGGCATGAATAATCCATCCCTTGTCAATAACATATAATCAAGAAATAACCATAAAAATCGGCAATTAGCAGCCTTTGGGGCTGCTCTGCCTACGGAGTAACCATTCTTTTATTCCTTTATTGTCTTAATAAATTTGCTTTCACTTTGCACTGTGGACTTGTCCTGAATTCTTTCTTGTGCAAGATCAAAGAGCCCTCTCTTGGGGTTTGGATTAGGATCACTTTACAGTAACAAAATCTCAAGATACAACTTTTAAATTGGCATTCATCATTGTCCATTTTCCTTATAAATTTACTTAACCTTTTATTGCATATCCTTTGCTCTCTTAAAATTTCTTACATCCTCTCTGCACTCTCAATTGCTGACATGACTGTATGCTTCATTTGAAAATGTGAAAGCAAGCAGGGAGATTACCACCATCTAACCTACGACTGTGCCTGCATCATTATCAATATCTCATTCTGTCCTGTTCAAACAGCAATTCGACGTGAGATTTGGGTGGGGACATACAGCCAAACCATGTCACCAGCTAACCCTGGATTTTTTTCCTTTTCACGTTGAACTAATCATTCAGAAGGTATACTTTAAATTTCACATAGCAAAGGTTATCAGTACCTGTTTTTGTGACAACCTCCAAGTTACATACAAATAAGATACCTTCCCATACACATTCCAGGAAAAAAAAAATCATGAGGGAAAAATACACACAGCGTTTTTCAAATTTCTCTCACTTTCAGGATGATCTTTATGGGGCTTAAGGATAAACAACCATGTTTCATTCTTTAAAATGTTTACTAAAAAGAAATATCACCGAGAAACAGAGTAAGAAGAATATGGGGCTCAACTGGGAAACCTTGTCCTTAGCTTTTGAGAAGACACCACTGTGTGGGGCTTTAGTTTCACCCCAGATGTGATTTTCTTGCTGTTAAAATGTCCATATGTGAGATGGAAGCCCCATAGTTGAAGAAAAGTGGACTTCAGGTAGATAATAAAGGTGGTTTTGTTAATCTACAGGTTTCCACTCCCGGGCCATCTGAAAGACATAGAAAAGCAGGTTAACAGAAACCATCTCCAAGCTGTGATCTGGCCACAGTTTGCTTCTGGTTCTCCCAGGAGCTGGCATTTCTGTTAGAGTCTGGACTCTGGGTGTTGTTCCTGGGAAGGGCGGGTGGGCCCCGGGACCTGCAGCATGCACAGCTCCTCATGGCACACATACGGCAACATGCCACATGCAGAACGGCCGCAGGAAACAACCTGGAACACTGATTTCAAAATCAGATTTTGTGCAGTGCTGGTGGCCGCTCCACTTCGGTTCATCTGAACAGCCCTTGCCACTCCTTTGCCCCTTCCTTCATCTTCTCCCGCTTCTCACCCCACGGCCCCCATCCTGACCAACCAGGTTGAGTGTGCTGAGTCTACAGCACTGTTTGAATCTGCATCGTTTGGTTCAATTATGATGCTGAATAACTCTTTTGAAGAGCTATTTAAGCCATCTTCCTAGTACCAAGACCACTCTAAAACTAAGCCCCAAAATGTGAACATCATCTAGAGGCAACATTTAAAAAAAAATTTTTTATTATGTATCCATTAAGTAAAATGACTGTCTTTTACCTCTAGCAAAATGTTCGGAGGTTAATTCCACTTGATTCATACAACAATTCTATGCTAAGGAAGATAGAATACTATAATACACCCGAAATCAAATTTTAAAAAAGAAGAAGCCTGGGCAACATAGTAAGACTCCATCTCTCCAAAAAAAAGAAAAGTAGTCAGACATGAGAGCTCATGCCTGCAGTCTCAGCTACACCGGAGGCTGGAGTGGGAGTACAGTTGAGCCTGCCATCGTGCCATTGCACTCCCGCCTGAGCAATAGAGCAAGACCCTGTCACAAGAAAAAGGGGGAGGAGGAGGAAGGGAGCAGGTGAGGGAAGGAGGGAGCAGGGAAGAAGGAAGAAGAGGACAAAGAAGAAGGAGGAGGAGGAAGAAGCAGAAGACGAGGAGGAAGGGAGGGAGGGAGGGAGGAAGGAAAGAAAAACATGAGTTCCAGTCCCATCCTTGCTCCCTCCAAGCTACAGGTCTCATGTGACTTCAAGCGAGCCACATAATCCCTATGGGTACTTCACAGTACAATGTCTGTTGGAAATTCTCTGATCTCTAAATTTGTTTCCAGCTCTAACAATCTATGATCCCATTGTTCTCATTTTACAGAAGACAGCTAACGTTCAGGGAGAAAAAGTAAATTGTTCAAGACCCTGTGGTCAACAAATGGTGGAGCACAGGCCAGGGCCTGGCTCTCTAGCCCTAACCCATTCCTTCCACAGCAGCTTGCTGGTCTAAACCACAGGCACAAAGGCAGCTGGAAGAGAATTCACCCACAAAAGCCGTGAGAAATGCAGTGTTTCAAAGCTCTTTTCCACCACTAAAATATATACCATATACTTACCATGGAGTCAAATCAAAGTAGATGTGCTCTCTAGCAGAAACTTATTAATTAAAAAACACTCAAGATGAGACGGTGTTGGTTTCTATTTGATCACAAATTTCCCCCTTAAAGTGTAACAAATGCTCCAGTGAAGTCTAACAACAAATCCAGAAATGGAAATATGGTGAATAATACTTTTTCTTTCTCCTTCCATGTGCAACACTGTCTATACCACTAATTGGCAGATAGTGTGAGACTGGTCTGATCTTCAAGAGGACTTGAACCATCCCAGAATCCCCGTTGCCATCTTTGAGCTGGCCGGCAGGAAGCTCAGCTAACCTAAAGTCAAGGGCAGGCCTCATCTTAGCAGGGACTCTGCCTGTCTTCTCTTGCTTGGTAACAGAAACAAAAGACACCTACCCACATGGAGTAACTGGAGTAGCCGACATTTCTTAGTGCCTTCTGTGTGTCCAGGGCCTTTCTGCTTATGATAAGCAATTCTCCCAACAGCCTATGAATTAGTTATTATTATTAGCTCTAAACTGAGACATGGACCTTAAGGAGGGGAGAAGCCCAATCTGCATACTGACTTGAGAGTCCATTCTCTTAGCCACCAAAAATGTACATAGGTTTCTACAGTCCATTTAGGACATACAAGGCATATATATATACCTATATTGGCAAAGAGATGTACATATAAGTGTTTTGTGTGTAGATAAAAATAGACATGCATAGTTATTATAATATGCCTTAATTCACTTTTTAAAAGGAAGAATAAATTACAGATAACTATGTGACATGTGCCATTCGTAAGGTGGCTAAGTCACTCTGGAATGCCAGGTATGGGCTGACAGCGTGAGAGGAGAAGGTCTGCCCCAACAGGCAACACTTCACCCAGTCTCACCACCCACCCTCTTCCCTCCCAGACTTGCACAGTTAGGGGCTAGAGGAAGGAATTCCAGATGAAGTTAGGCTAACAACATGTTTTTAAAAACTTTAAGTCTTGCCACCAAAATATGAAATTCACAATTTTAATATTCCACCAGTATACCTCTTTAGCATAATGTGAAAAAATGTCTACTTTTATTTTCATTTGTCTTGTGATCCGTCCTAGTTTGTTTTCTTCATGACATGGTTGGCATTTTGTTCTCATGGGATTTGTTCTTTTATTTGTTACCCCCCTGAGTTGTGTATTTCTAAGATGGCCATGCCAGGCATGGCTGAGTGGGCAACTCTGGCCTCTCAGGTGTCTGCTCTCAGCATGACTGTCCCAAGGATGGCTGCATGGGGGGCTCTGGCCTTTCAGGTGTCTGCACTCAGGATGACTGTCCCAAGGACGGCTGTGTGGAGGACTCTGGCCTCTCAGGTGTCTGCACTTGCGACGACTGTCCCAAGGACAGCTGTGTGGAGGACTCTGGCCTCTCAGGTGTCTGCTCTCGGGATGACTGTCCCAAGGACGGCTG